TAATTAATTTGTTGACTTATGAATTAAGAGCTCCTTTACACGTTTGTGGTGTAGGTTAAATCCCACAATTTCAAAAATCAACATATCAATAAGTTTTAATTTTTTTTTATTATTTTTAAACTTATTATCGAATAGCCTCATCATTTTTTTAGTTTTGCTGATACTAAATAAACTATTTATATATTGTAGAGGTTAAATTAATATAGTTTTGTTATATATGTGGTGTTGAAATACGTTCTAGAGTCATAAAGACTAAAATGATGATTAATTGACATATTAATGCACACAACATGACTATTTTAAGCATTATTTAATTCTGAACAACAATTATTTGTTTGCTCAATAATTTACTATCTTTACTCAACAATGTAAATAAATGTACATACATTTCAGTTTCTTATTAAAAATTTTACTGACATACTCTAACTAGTAAGGCGGTACATTTATGATTTCAATAAAAGTGGTGATAAAATCTCACGTGATCATTCGTGAACAAGGGCAACATCATAACTAATTATACCATCACTGAAACTAATGAACTCCAATTAATTAATATATTTAAATAAAAGTAAATAAAACCATCACACGCTTATATTAGTACAATCAAATGATTACATGATGATTTTACACAATCATATTGTCTACACAACATCGCATTTTTTCCAACCACCAGTTTGTAAAGCTAGCCATACGTTAAATTTTCAATTTATAAGGTAATGCAACTTAAATAGTTGATAAAATTAATTGATAAGTCAATTAATATAAAATTTTCAAAGTGTTTTTTTTTTAAAGTTACGTAAACAAGTTTACGGGATAAGTTTCGAGCATTTTTAAAAAGTGTATCGTATCAATACAAACTTAATATTTGAATATAAAAAAAAAAAAAGTTATAAGCTAACACACTCCATGATATATATATATATATATATTTTTCCTCTTTAATTAATTACTTCTCATTGGGCGATATGTATATTGTTTTTTAGCACAACGGTTCTACATAGTTTATTTTTTTTAGTTAAAAATATTTTTTACTTTCAGAAAGTAAAATTATAGATTTGAGGAAAAATTAGAGATTTCACCTATCTTTAATGTTATCCTTTTGTAAGTACAAATTTTAAATAACTTTTTATATTAAAAGAAGTTATTTTTTAAAAACTTTAATATAGAAACTTTTTGAAACACTATATTGCAATGTTAATAATTTTTCTACAGTAAACAATTACTAAGTTAGTGTTCCAATTGTACGTGAACTATAATCCTAAAAAAATAGCAGCTTATTTAATTGGATGATGGAATTTGATATGTTATAGAACTAGTGTGTGGCCCGTGCGATGCACGAGAAAACAATATTACGATTGTATTATAAATTAAATATATAATTAACATTAATCATAATTTATCAATTGTTTTTAAATTAAACCGGGTTGGACACAATCCAACCAAATGCACCGAGAACCGGTTTATAACCAGTCTAGTTCGCTTGAATAAAATATTTTCTCTTGAATTCGTACCAGCCGGTTGGACTGGTAGGATCGATACGATTTATTAAATAAATTTTGTTATATTTAAAATTATTTTAAATAAAATTACATATTTAAATAAAATAGATATTTATAAATTATTTATCAATTAATTTAAACATTTGAATTTATAAATTGTTTATATATCTAAGTAACAATTTTATTTAAGTTTATTACAAAAAATAATAAAATAAAATAACTTGATTTTTTCGATGATGTCCAGTTATGAAACCTTATATTTACTGTACATTAATAAATATTATAATAAAATATTATTTAATTCACAAAAATATTAATAAAATGATATATAAGTATTCATAAATCATTAAACATGTTGTCATAAAAGTATTGTTAATACGATTATTTGAAGTTTGGGCTACATCACATTCACGTAATAAAATATTTTCAATATAAAATTTATGTTTAGGTTCAATAATCGATTTGGTGTGGTCGAACTGATACATAACTTAGTCACCTCGGACCAACCAAGTTGTGTCAATTTTTTTGAATATATTATATATCACCTAAAAGTAATTCAATCAACCTGGGCAATACCCTAATTCAATCACTCGATTGATCCGAAGAAATTTTCTTATTTTCTTTAAATATATTTAATTTTATGAAATAAAAATATTTTATGATTCATATAATAAATATCTACACCAAATGATAGTATATTAAGATTATAAATTATATATCTAAATATGAATTAATTATTTTTACTTTATGCATATTAATAAAAAATAAACATAGTAATTTTTAAAAAATTAAGATTAATTGATTGATCATGCAATTTAAGAATATTTTTAGCATTTAATATTTTTTTTAAAGGCACAAATATAAAGATCGAGATTCTAAAAGTTTTGTTATAATTTGAATTAAGATTTTATAAATATAGAGACCGAGATTTTAATGTTGTTCGTTGTTTCTAAGAAAAAAATAAAAATAAAAACATACACACTTAATAAATCTTCGTTGGATTTTTTAAATAATAAAATGAACTAAAACCCGAAATTTAAGGTAACATTTAATGTTGTATGATTTTTAAAGAAAAAAATAAGAAAATTAATAAAACTTACTATTTATAGGCTGCATTAAATTCTGATCTATTTTTTTTTTTGCTACTATTTTTGATAAATGNAAGATCGATAAAATTTTATCAGCAAAATCATATATTGATTCATATATATAAACAAAGTAGTTAATCGACTTATAATTTAATAAACGAGATAAATTCGATCTCATTTAAGGCTCGCTTAGTGAATGAAATTGTTCGACCAATTAATGCTTGTTAGAATCAAGAATACGTGTTTTAATGCAATGTTCTACTTATATAACGATTCGAGCTCGAATTTATCTAAAATCTTTTAGCTAACGAGTTAGAGATCAAATAGTATGAGTTCCGAGTTGATCAATTTAATACAAATTGAAGCTAGTGGACAATGATGAACTTATATATTCACAACGAAAGATACAACCCGACCCGAATAATGGGAATGGTCAACGCCTTTCAAAACTACAGTTATTTTTTAACGGATTGTGGGCGTAAAGGGGACTTGTGGACATAATCATTTTGACTGTGGCCTCTTTGACTTTTTTTTATTCACAATATGGGACGTGTGAGCGTGATGGTTAGTTCAGATTGGCATCACAATCTATTTATTTGTACTACCAAAAAAAAAAATATTAGTGTTACTGCATTACGCAAGCAATTAAATTTTAATTTAGGGTGGGCATAATTAATTAAGTTCAAGGGTGCAATTAATCATGATAACAAAAATATGTCACACATATATTAATTATCCCTTGATGGAGTGAAATGCAAGTTACTGTTATATTGGACCATGTTGAATATATTGAGTACATGACCAATTTATTGTCATCTTTCTGTCTCGTTTTTATTATTCAAATAATCCAAAAAAAAAAAATGAAAAATGATAAAAGAATGTCACATAAATGAAAATTGTTATTCCATCTCTATTATAGATTATAGATTGATGCTTGCAATCAAATAACATCATTTGTGTGTTTGAGATCAATTACCTAGATTTATAAATGCTTAGCAATTGAACTAAGTTGGGTAACGGTAACCACGGCTTGCCGAACCACGAAACGAAAAAGAGCTCCGGACCAAGGAAGAGCCATAAGAGGTCTTTCTCTTAGGAGGCGTTTATTCGAAAGGAACAACCCCAAGAACCATATAGCTACACGCCTTCCTCGAGTGACAAAAGTATTAGCATAGATAAGAATCTGAGTTGGTTTTACATCTGGAGTTCAAATGAATACCCCAGGCAAGAAATTTTCTTACCCGTCCAATTTCTAATGAATCAAGATAACCCCTCGTTCCGGCTCTTGAACAAAGAGAATTCAATTCAACCCCCGTTGAAGTTGAAACCAAGCTGGCAAAAGAGGAGGCGTGAAACCTCCCTAATCAAAAACCTCCGCCTCCGCGAAACCTCGGCTCGTTAATCTAATAAAGTATAGCTAAATTAATGAACAAATTTAAAGAACCACTTTTTCAAAGAGGGTGATTATTAATTGCCTCATAAATCATTCACAATTATATAGGCAAAATCGAAGTAATTAACACTTTCCCTTTTGATCTACAAAGCCGAAAACATTTACTTCGTACTACATCATTGCAAAGCAAATCCAAATTGGATACAAATGTGTAAATAATGCCGACATGAAATTTATTGAACTCTTCCCTCTAATACCTTGTAAATAAATTATATGACACTATATATTTTAATTCTCTATCTTATTTACCAAAGTCCATAATTTTTACTACCCATAGCCTTGCGAGAAAAAAAAGAGGGTTTAAATCTTAGTTCATATTCTCATTTTTCTTAAAAAAAAAAAAATCTTATACATATAAACAAAAAGAATTATATTATTAAAATTAGTTAAATTGCACTAACTATGAATGTATTGGCCCGGTTGGTCAAATGGACTACCGCTCATCTCGCCTGCTCGAGTGGCCATGGACAAAAAGAATGTACGCTTTTAATCTCACAAGATCTACTCACAGACCCCAGTTAAAAAATATTATTATTATTATTATTATGATTATTATTATTATTATTATTATTATTATTATTATTACTTTTTAAATTTTAATACACGTTTAGATGGTAGTGTTTCAAACGAACGAGCTACAAATGCTAGGTGTTAAATATTTAAACATCAAGCATAAAAATGAATATATTTTGTACAACAACTTGGAGCTCATTAAAAAGAACATAACAATAAAAAAGTTGAAGTTAACTCACTCTAAGCTCCATTTTTTCACTTACAATGGAGATTCTTATCATACATGTAAAAGAAAAAAAGGTTAACTACAATACATAAGATGGAAACATAAACACAATGCGAAAAACCATAACTGAAGAACAAAACTTGCCGTTGGCTATGCAATACACGATTCTGACTCGTTTTTTTTCTCATTTTCCTCGATTGCAAAATTATGGTGTAAAGAAATTATTTTGACGGGGTTTCTATAGCTAATAGTGCATCGACGCTCGGAAAATCACACATGTCCCGAAAATAATCCGAGTCCAGTTCTTGAAACGAATCTTGATCAACATCCATAAAACTCGAGCCTTGAGTTTCGAGGGCGGGAAAATCGTCGAAACTCATCTTGAACTCGTCGAGCCCGCCAAAAAAGCCCGGCCCATTATCGAATAGCAAGGGCCCATTTTGGGTTTGGAAATTGAAGAAATCGTCCAACAAGGGAATGTCCATGGGGAGATAGTCGGTGCAGTTATAATCGGAAGCCGTGCTCGTTTCACCTTGGCACTCTTCACATTCGCGGCCCCGACCCGGAATTCCCGCCGGCGTTTCCACGAAGCAATCGCCGGAAAGCACAGAGGGCTCGTCGACGTCGTCTCCTTTGGCCGGAGTTTCGGTAAAATCCTCGCTCGACCGGCTGCTCCTGAACCGGAGGACGGAGGTCGGCGACGAGAGGTTGTGGTTGTGGGAGGACTCGTCGCCGGAATCGTAGCCGGAAACAGAGGCGGCGGCGTTGTTTTCCGCCGAGATTCCCTCCGGCGGGGGGGCGACGAAATTGGTGAGCGCGTCGGGCCCACGGAGCTTGATGGCGGCGCTGTCGTAGACCATGGCGGCCTCCTCCGCCGTGTCGTAGGTGCCCAGCCAGAGGCGGACCCGCCGGGAGGGGTCCCGGATCTCGGCTGCCCATTTGCCCCACGGCCGCTGCCGGACGCCACGGAACTTCCTGGCGACGACGCCGCCGCCTTCGGCGGCGGCCGGCGGGGCCTTCATCGGCTTGGGTTTCGCCTGGAGGCCAGCGGCGGCGGCCGTCTCCATCGTGATCTCGTCGACGTACCTCTTGACCCGCCGGCGCCGGAAGAGCTCGTCCTCGTCGTCGCTGGAGGAGTCGGTGGCGTCGGGGTCTGTGACGGAAATTCGAACAGTTTTGGGGCATTTGTTGGAATTAGCGAAAGTTTTGGGGCTCTGTTTTCTGAGGCTCTGTTTTGGGGGTTTGATGAGCTTTTTGGTGACGCGCTTGTGCTCCGTGAATTTCACGGGCCATAGCAGGCTGTGATCCATTTGCTATCTCAACCTTAAAATCTCAGTAGAAAGAAATCAATGGAAGTGTGTGTGGATGGGGAAGAGAGAGAAAGTCTTGGGTTGTTTTACAGAGAGGAAGTGTATCTAAAGTTTTTGTTCGGAGACCAAAGCTATACTGAAAATCGGTCCCTTTATAGGACCACTTATACGCTCACCAATTTGTTTATTTAATCACTTTTTTTTTATTTATTCAAATAAAAAAATTAAAAAGAAAAATAAACAGTCTTTGAGCTTTAGGTGGGGAGCTGAATAATTTTTTATATTATTGGTACTAAAATATCTACGCACGGGAGGTGTCTTGGCCAGCAGACAGCGGATACCGTCCGCCGGCGGCGGCGTGGGGAAAGATTCCGGCAAAACTACCGGCGAAGGACCAAAAAGAAACGACGCGGCTCGCCGCATCGTGGGAGCGTGTGGAGTCGACACGTGGACGAAGCGGGTTTCACTCGGGGATGGTCCCGTCTCCCGATAGTGGTGACTCACCAATTACTGCATGGGTTAACTTTATTTTATTTTTTTCTGAAGGGGGAGAAGGGCCTCGAAGTGCGTGTGGCCGGTCACGTGAGGCCCAGGATGCTC